GCAGAGAGAAGTTTGGGGTGCTGGAGCACCCTTAGTTCCCAGAAGGAAGGCAAGGAAGCAGGCAGAGAGGCCCAGCACCTCCTCCTTTCACTCTCTCCTCCCCCCATGCCAGGCATAGGGACATCAGGCTACTAATTCAATTCTGTCTTCATTACTGGGAAGGCGCTTTTAATCAAATCCTAAGTTGAGTGGCAGGAGGGAGAGAGGACACTCATTCTGTCTTCACTTGCTCTATTCGGAGAACCATTTGGGGTGTTGCTAATCCTGCCCACATCACATTAAGACTAATAAAACACCCCGAAGGCTCCCACTCTCCAAATGTCAACATTTATTAACTCCGGAGCCCGGCTCCAACTTTCACGCAGCCCCCCTCTGCACAGACCTGGTGATAGGAGCCAGAGACGGACTCTGTGGCGGTCACTGCCTCCTGTCCTTGGTCTGCCCTTAGTCCCAGGGGTGAGTACTGGGAGTGGGGATTCAGAGCCAGCAAAGTCACAGGGATATCCCCTAAACGGACATTTGGGGACACCCATGTTAGGAAGACTGCTATTGCTTTTCCTCATTTGGAGGAACTTTTCTCTTTTGTGACTCTTGGAAAAGGACAGTTTGCTTTCTAGCCCATCTCCTCCACCCCTTAACTGGAGAGAAGTCTTCTGGAGAAGGCTGATGCTTGCTGGCTCCTGGGGCATCCTTAGGCTAACCAGGGCTGGGGGCTGAGGCCATTTTCACACAGATGAGGCGACTGGACTCTTGCAGGTTAAGCAGTCTGCTGAGCTCAGGGGAGGGCGGGAAGTCAAAGGTGCTCTTCTGCCCCCTCCATGGCCAGAATATTCGAGACTGAGGAGTAGCTTCTGGGAGCCCAGCAACTCTAGCTGAGCCTTCTCAAGAGATGTCTGAGGAAGGAATCTCCCATCACTTTGGATTTTCCACATCCACCTCCGTGGTCCCAGGGTAGAAGCGGTCACGGGGGAGTTTGAGGACAAACCCTTAAACAACCACAGCTTTTCCTTGAGGCTCCTTTCTTATCTGAAAAAAACTCAGGCACTTTGGCATTCTACTCCACACTACATGCCTCTATTTTAAATTACTTACCAGGCACATTACTTAACTTTCTCCTTGGAATCTCAGTGAATTCACATTCTGGGAAGCTGAGCTGTGTTTGGTCTGTTGCTCATCAGAAGTCTGAGGGATTCGTGAACCCTAGTTTGAGAAGCAAGACTTTGAACCATCTGCTAGCTCTCACCATCTTGCCAAGCTCCCACACTTTAATTTGGGGGCATCTTTATTTAGGGGCTGTAATTGTTTCCTAGGGCTGCTGTAATAAATCCCTACACACTGGATGGCTTAGAAACACAATAGAAACACAATAGAAACAAATTCTCTCAGTTCCAAAGGAACTGAGGTCTCTAGTAGTCAAGGTGTTGGCAGGGCCATGCTCCCTCTGAAGGCTCTGGGGTGGGCTCCTCCTTGTGTTCTCCAGCTCCTGACTTGGCAGCAGTGTCACTCCAGTCTCTACATCTGTCTTCAAGAGGCCTTCTCCATTTGTCTGGAAGAGGAGCCGAGAAATGCTTTGTTTTTGCTGGCTTAGAGAAAAGCAGTCCCCATCCCTTGGAGTGATTGAACATTAGATAGCCAGGAAGAAGGTGGTCCTAGGTTTAGGAGATAAGGGGGACCTTGCCCTCATGGGGCTGACTTGTTCCAGAAGGTGGCTAGGAGGTGGACTCAGTGAGCTGGTGATGGCAGCATCAGTTCCTTGGACTCAGGCCTAGTGGGGACACAGAGCATTGCTGGTGGAAGCATCATTCTGAAGAGCTATTCTTCCCCCCACCACCAAGATGGTGGCGCCAACCAGGGCCTAGGCCATTGCCCTCTGTCTTGGGACTTTGAGCTGAGCTCAGGGGCAGCATGGTTCATGAGGATCTTGTTCCTCAGGTGCTCTTTCCTTCCACAAGTGTGGCATTCGTGGGAACAAGCACCCCAACGTCATCTGCTGCAAGGCACACGGGCTCTAGCACTGGTCTCTCATTCATCTCAGTGAGAGGGAAGGAGTTGGCCTCCAGGTTTCCTTCAAGACACTAGAAAACCCCAGTGAGCTCTGCATACCCTGGCTGACTGGGACAGCCTTGAGTATTTTCTCCCTGAGGACAGACTCAGGCACTTGATGTTCCGTTCACACTGGGCAGGGGCCACTGCACCTGCATTCTCATCCTCTACCACAAATTGTGGTTCTCTGGGAAATCCCCACTTCTGAGGCAACACACTTATTCCAGCGACACCTACTAACTCTGGGTCTCTCTCTCTCTTTTTTAAGATTTATTTATTTATGCATATAAGGCTGGGGTTTAGGCCAGAGGTGCAGGGGGTGAGAGTTCACCAGAGGCAGAGTGGAGAGGAGAACAGGTGGATATACTAAAATATACTGCTGAGGGGAGCAGCGGGTGAGACCAGAGAGGTCTGCTGTGCCATGTGCGTCACCTCCCTGGCCGGGGAGCGAACTCAGGCTGCAGTGGTTGCCCATAGCTTCATAGTGCTGAGACTTAACTCCTTGTGCCACCAGGGAGGCCCTCTGGGTGTCTCAACTCCCTCAGGGAACAGCCATCAGAATCAGCTGACATCCACCAGTGCCTTGTTTTACATTCACTCTGCATCGTTGACCTAAACAGTGTCCCTCAGCCTGATGGCTCCCGAGTGCCAGACTTGGTTCAGATTCCCTCCAATTAAAAATAATATGTCTGGTACATTCAACAGCCTCTAGCTCATGCCTGGGAGACTCCACAGAGGTAGTAGGTTATTTGTTATTTGAGGATGGTTTTGGGAAATGATGGTGAGGTGCTGTTGCATAGAGGCTGGAGAGTCACGTAGCAGAGGAGCTTTCTTCAAAGTGAAACTAAGGGAGCTCGCATGGGGCTGGCAGACTGCCCACTCTCAGCCTCACCTCCCAGCCTGCTGCTCTGCTTCTGTTGCACCTGTGGGGGCCATAGCCCTTGTGGCCAGGAAGCACCAGCAGCTACTGCGCTCTGTTCACGGTTTCTCAAATAGGTCAGAGCCCCTACCCCTTCCTCATCCTCTTTCAGGTTTCCTCAGGAGGTCCCCAGCAGGCCTGAGCTGTGGTTGCCTCCAGTGGTAACCAGTTCAATTAAGAGGTCTTGGGTTGGTCTTTCTCTTTCCTTGTTTTACTCTCCCCAGTCCCCTTCCCCATCGCTGCTTTTCCCAGGGATCTCTTCCCCAAGCACCTACTTGCATAAAAGTCTCTGTGTTTGCGGGACCCAAGATAAGACGACGCCCTACTGGACTTCTTGTGAGGCTTATGAGTGAGCAATTTCAACAGAGCCTGACAGTGCATCATGAGGGTCTAGTAAGAGGTGTCTCTGGGGCCATATCTTTCTTTCTCCCTTCTTTTTTAAACAACTTTATTGAGATATAACTCACACAACATACAACTCATTCATTTAAAGTGTATACTTGGGCCTCCCCGGTGGCGCAGCGGTTGAGCGCTGGGTTGCGAAGCTGCCCGCAGCCTCTGCAGCACCGGTTCGATCCCCGGCTGCTCCCCGGCCACCGGAGGAGGGTCCCACATGGCGCGCAGACCTCTCCTGCCGCCCGCTGCTCCCCTCAGCAGTGTACTTCGGTCCTTCTGCCTGCTCTGCTCCCCGTTCTGGCTCTGGTGAATTCTCTCACCCTCCCGCGCTTCTGACTGTACCCAGTGCATGTATAAACAAAACAAACAAACAAATAAATAAATAAAACATGCCTTTATTAAAAAAAATTTAAAAAAATAAAGTGTATACTTAAGTGGTTTTTAACATTGTCACAGGGTGGGGTAACCTCCACAACCAATTTTAGAATATTTTCAGCATGCTGAAAAGAAACCTGGTATCCATAAGCAATCACTGCCCATTTCTCCCTCAATACCTCCCACTATCCTGGCAACCACTAATCTACTTTCTATCTCTGTAAATTTGTCTATTTTAGATATTTCATTTAAATGGGATCAAAATATGTAGCTTTCTGTGTCTGGTTTCTTTCACTTGCATCATGATTTTAAGGTTCGTATAGGTGTAGCCTGTGTCAGTATTTTATTACCTTTTTTTTTTAAAGATTTATTTATTTATTTATACAAGCACTGAGTATAGTCAGAAGCGCGGGAGGGTGAGAGGATTCACCAGAACCAGAGTGGGGAACAGAACAGGCAGATTGACGAAGTACACTGCTGAGCCTCATCAGTGGGAGCAGCAGGAGAGGTCTGTCATGTCATGTGGGACCCTCGCTGGTGGCCAGAGATCGAAGCGGCACTGCAGAGGCTGCAGGCAGCTTCGCAGTCCAGCGCTCAACTGCTGCACCACCAGGGAAGGCCCAGTACTTCATTACTTTTATGGCCAAGTAATACTCCATTGTATGGCTATGCCACATTTTATTTATGCATATATTTGTTAATGGACATTTGGATTGCTTCTGCCTTTAGGCTAAGATAAATAATAATGCTATGAATATTTGTGTTCAAGTTTTTATGTGTTTATGTGTTATTATTGGGGGGTATATACTAGGGACTGGCATTCTTGGGTCAACTCTCTCTTCTTTTAATTTTGTTAGATTAGCCAATACACCCCCCCATTTTAAAGGTACTGGAGGAGAATTCCTGTTCTCAGAAGTAACCAATATCCCCCACTTTAAATGTACTCTAGGGATATTTCTAGAATAAGTAAACAGCGTGAATTTGTTATTCCTTTTCTTTCACATAGTGACATACAATATAAACTACTCAATGACTTTCCTAACTCATTAATATTAAATCATAGATACTGCTCCATGTCATTACCAAGGGAACTTTTCATTCTTTTTATATATGAGTAGTACTCCCTTGGATGGAAGGAAATAATTGATTTAATTTAAATAATTCATTTAATCAGTTCCCTATTAAAAGACACTAACTTTCCCCTTAACCTTTTGTTATGACAAATAAAATGCAATAAAAAACCTTTAACAAATACCTTTTCCCTCAGGTGCAAGCTCATCCATAGGATACATTTCCAAAACTAGAAGAATCTTCTCAAAAGGTATGTGAACTTCAAATCTTGACATGTAATGCCAAACTGCCTCTCCTTGAGGTTATGCCAATTTACTGCCCATTGGCCTATTTGATGGGTAGAAAAGTGTATCTTAATGTCATTTTAATTTGCATTTTTTTAATGAGTGAATGAAAGCACCTGTGATTCCCTTTTCTATAAAAATGTATCTTTTGTCTGTTTTTTGACTGGACATGGGCGTTTTCTTGATGATTTCTGGATTCTTTTTATTTGTCAGAGAATTTAGCCCTTTGTCTGTAATATGAATGCTGGTGGGCTACGCCGGTTGTATTTGTCATTATATTCAGTTTCTCTCCCTGAGAAGATCTTATATCTCCTACCTGTTGGCCAGGGGTAGTTGTGCGACTTGCTTTGGTCAATTAAATGCAAGCAGAAGGGGCCTCCCCGGTGGCGCAGCGGTTGAGCGCTGGGTTGCGAAGCTGCCCGCAGCCTCTGCAGCGCCAGTTCAATCCCCGGCTGCTCCCCAGCCACCAGAGGAGGGTCCCACATGGCGCAGACCTCTCCTGCCGCCCGCTGCTCCCCTCAGCAGTGTACTTCGCTTCTGCCTGCTCTGCTCCTCGCTCTGGCTCTGGTGAATTCTCTCACCCTCCCGCGCTTCTGACTGTACCCAGTGCATGTATAAACAAGCAAACAAATAAACAAACAAATAAATAAATAAACAAAACATGCCTCTATAAAAAAAAAAATTAAAAAAAAAAGACTGTATTATGCCCAATAGCAAACTTTAAAAAAAAAAAAATGCAAGCAGAAGCATGTGTGTTACTTCTGGGTTGAAGCTCAGATTGTCAGCACATCCTCTTTCCCTCTACCGTGCAACTGGCATCAGCAGTTGAGGGCTGTGCCTTCTGTTGAGGAGTCCCAAAGTGGAAGTGACAATAGTGACAACATGGGAGGAGAGACTCTTCCTAACTACTCTGCAAGAGAACAGGTCATGTGGGCAGGAAATATTCCTTTGTTATTTTATGCCACTAAGACTTTGAATTTTCTTGTAGCATAACTAGGCTACCTGGACAGACATAGGTGATTTTTGCCACAAAGAGAATTTTAAAAAATGTTGATGAGGTTGAGATGATTGATTCATAGTTCATGACTTTTGGTTTTGTATCAGATCTCCCCCACTTCTGGATTATTATTTAAAAAATTCTCCCTAGTTTGTTGAAAATGCATTATTTCTCTTTTTCTTTGACATGCTGCTTGGTGCAATTCCTCAGTCGTTCCATAGTTAAAGAAGTGGAGTCTGATCAGGGGCCACCATAACCAATAGCAGATTATGTTTCACTGCTCTGAAGAGACTTGAGTGCAAATATTCCAATTAGGTGCTTTTTTTCTCACATGACAGCCCAGAATTAGGTGTTTCAGAACTGCAAGTTCAGTGCCAAAGGCATGAGAGAGGCTTCTTATGTACTTCTGCTTTACCCTCCTTAACATGGGACTTTCTTAGACTTCGTGGTCCAAAGTGTTCAAGGACCTGTACTCATTTGTTCATTTCCCTTTCAAGGAATTTTTTTTTATTAAAGATTTTATTATTTATTTTTATACAAGAGCTGGGGTATAGGCCAGAGGTGCGGGAGGGTGAGAGGATTCACTAGAGACAGAGCAGAGAGCAGAACAGGCAGACGACAGAAACACACTGCTGAGAAGAGCAGTGGGTGTGACAGGAAATGTCTGAGGCACTATGTGGGATTCTCACCCGCCGGCTGGGATCGAACCAGCACTGCCGAGCCTGCGGACAGCTTCACAGCACGGCACTCAACCTGCTGCACCACAGGGAGACCCCTCAAGGAATTTTCTTGAGAGTCTCACCCAAAAACTTCTGTGTACCCCTAATTGTCCAGAACTTATCAAGTCATTCAAGTGACTTGAATCAAGTTACTTTGGCTTAATTCAAAGAGGTTAGAAATGTAGTGTTTTATTTTTTGGGTGGTCTGGAGCGTTGAAGTGGTTGATGTTAAAGAGCTGGATGGAGCAGTTCTCTGACAACCTCAGGGCTCTGGGGGTGGGCCCTGCTCCTTAAAACAAGGTCCTGTGGAGGTGAATCCCAACAGAAGGGACTGCCACTCTGCCATTCCCTTATCATTTCTGTGCCATTTCTTGGCTTTTGGGGGTTTCCCAGATGTGGTCGCACCTCTGGGTGGGAGAGGACCCCTGAGGGGGCAGCCTGGTCTCTGCTCTGAGAGTCAGGGATGCTGGTCTGGGGAGTCTACCGCTCATTCAGCCCCAGCCAGCACTGCTGGACTGTGACCTCAAGTTCACCAAGCCGGTTTCCCTCTCTGTAAATGTGGGTAGGATTGTTGTGATAAGAGAAGACATTTGAGGTTGCAGCTATTGATTTGGGGACAAAAAGAGAAGACTGAATGTATGTTCCTGCAGCCACTAGTGGCCATGGAGCAAGGGGCCGATGCCATCAGGGAAAGCCTGGGAGGCGAAGGCTGTGCTGCCCACCACCTCTCTGACTCTCTGACCCTCCTTAGGGATTTTTCACCTGCTCCACAGAACCAGTCACTCATTTGCTATCAGATCCAGCACCTCCCCAACTTCCCTCCCTGATTCCAGTCCAGGTCTGGCCTGTTTCAGACAATGGTCCATCACTGAATCCTTCAGCTCCTTAAATACCTCCATTTACTTCACCCCACCTCCTTCACTCTCTATACTTATCTCCCTCCCTGACCTTTCTTCCTCTTCCCCTCCACCCCATGTGCCCCACCCTCTCCCTGACCAATGTCATCTCAGTACCTTGTATTAGTCAGGAAAGGGTACACTTATGTCTTGGTAACAAAAGAGCTCTCATCTACATGGCCTTATATACACACATTTGTTTCTTAATTATACAAAATCTGCATGACTCTCTGGTATAGCTATTTCCAGTAGTTCCCAGTAATGCAGGCAGCTCAAAGAGTGAAGTGAGATTGGGGGACTTACACTGCTTATAGCCAGCAAGTGCACAGACCTGTAGTCTGTTGGCTAGACCAAGGCACAGGGCTCAGCCTGACAGCAGGGAGGCTGGGAAATGCAGGGAGCACATATCTGCAGTGAGTCAGTTTCTAGCAATAACATGTGGTAACTGCTTCTACCTGAGCCTAGAAGAACCTGCTACCTGTTCATGTCCAAGTTCACGCCTGACCCTCAGCAACTCCTATGGTTTGACCCCACTGACACTTCCTCTCCCCGGTACAGCTCTCTACTCCAATGTATCATGCAATGTATCCTCCAAGCCCCTGCTCATGCTGTCATCCTTGTTTATTGGCAATCATTCACCACTTCTTGCCTAAGTTCTTCAGGGCCCAACCAAGGTCAGTCTCTTTTGTGAAGCCTCCAGTGGGCTCAGTCCTTAGTGCTCTCCCTCATTAGTGCTCCTTTGGGGCTTATTTTTAGATCCTAACTTTTGGAGGTCAAGGTCTGTGTCTTATCCCTTGCTGTCCTCTCAGTGCCCTACTCAGTAGGACTCAATGATTTTAACTTGTGAATGGCTACAAAACACCTATTAAATGGCAGGCACCCAGCTAGGCACGGAGGATGTAAAGAGTTATAAAATATGTATGGTCCCAGAAGGAAAGATACTAGCACTTAGATGTGCCTGCTCTGTATCATCTAATGATTAAGAGCAATAGCTCTGAGTCTGCTTGGGGTTGAATCTCGCCTTTGGTAAATTAACTATGGGACCTCATCTTTAGTCTGAATTTTTTCATCTTCAATAATAATTATAGTCATTAGCTACTACATTAGCTTTTTTGGGTTGTTGTAACAATTTCCGTACAATGGGTGACTGAAGACAATAGACGTGTATTCTCTCACAAGTTCAGAGAATCCCAAATCAAGGTGATGGTAAGACCATACACTCCTTGAAGGCTCTAGGGAACAGGCTTTTCCTCACCTCTTCCTAGTTCTGGTGTCTCCCAGCAATCCTTGGGTTTCCTTGGCTTGTAGCTCATCATTCCAACGATGCATCTGCCTTTACCTCTCTCTCGTTATATAAAGATATCATCATTGGATTTAAGGCTCACCCCAATCCAGTATTGTTACAGGGCAGGGAGAGGGGCAGCCCAGACCCCACAAAACCTGCCTGCTCTAAATGGGTTCTGCCATCCACTGCATCAACACAAAACATAGGAGACTTTAATGGGAAGGAACTTTAATACAATTAGGAAACAATGCAGGAAAGGCAAAGAATATAGTTTCTAAATCAAGCACCCAATGTTACCTGTCCCCTCGTGGGTAAAACTCCATCCAAATGGGATTGGCCCAGAGCAAGGCCCCAAAGCCTGCCGCAAGTCTAAAGCACCTTCCAGTGGGGATCCACAGAAAAAGATCAGAAACAACCAGACAAACCCTTCCTTGAAGGAAGGAAAATAGCAAAATCAAAATCAAGACAAAAACCGCCATGGTCACCTCTCCACGGGTCTCACCCACATCTGTGTCACCCAGTCCACGACCAAAAGGCAAGTGCAGTTTCTTCACATGTCTCTCCATTTCATGTGCCTCCTCCAGGCCTCCTTCTGGCTCTCCATCCTGTTTCCTTCCTTCTTCGGTCTCCTCTGCAGCTTCTTCTCTCCCTGCTCAGCTCCACCCTCTCTAGGGTGTGGCAGGAAATCTGGAACCTCCCCCTTTCCTGGGGACCACCCTGTTATAACATGACCTCACCTTAACTAATTACATCTGCAAAAACTTATTTCCAAATAAAGTCACATTGTGAGGTTCCGGGTTGACATAACATTTTGGGAGAACACTTATTCAGCCCACTGCACCTACCTCGTAACATTATCATAAGGATTAAATAATATGGTGCTTGTAAGTCACATGGCACCATGCTTAAATGTTAGTCATTTTTAGAACATTATACTCATCAGGATTATTTCATTTGCAAGTGTCAGAAACCTAACTCAGTTCTGGTGTGACTGGCTGTGGGTACTTAAATGAGGCTATTAGGAATCTTTCCTTCTCAGCTGTCAGCTGTGTTCTTTTTACTCTTAGGCACTCTCTGTCAATGAGGTGGCACAGGCATCCATCCCTTAGCAGCTCCAGGGTTCCATTTGACCAGCTGATCATCCTCCATAAAAAAGAAACACCTCTTTCTCAATAAAAACACGAACAACTTACTTGGTGCCTAACATGTTCTTTCTTGCATCATTCCTGTCATTCAATAAGCATCTCCTGAACCCTGCACTGCCCCGGGCCCTGGGCTAGGAACTGGCACCCAGCGTCTCCATGGTATGTAGTGGACTATCTGTGCTAGTGCCTGCTTGGCATCCAAGGCTGCAGCATTCTGATTTTGGGGAGTACCCCTCCCTTACTTGTAGTTCGAGCTACTCAGCTGTGCCGATGCTCTATCCCACTCCCCAGTTCAGAATAGCCTATCCTCCTGGCCATGGAAATTGGTTCCATGAAAATCAGCCCTGGGATTCTTGAATGCCTTGCACCCCAAACCTGAGTGATTCCACTACTTTCAGAGCCTACAGGTCCTTCCAGTGGCAGCGATGACCAGTCCCTGGGCAGGTCCAGCTGAGTCAATGTTTGCTGGCGGGTAAAGAGAGAAATGATGAACAGGTTCACGTGGATGGAGAGGTCCGACACAAAGCTATGCTAATTCTTCATAAGCTCTGCCTGCCGCCTTTTATATATCAACCTGAAATGTAATTATCTTTATGGCTGGCAGAGTAAATCACCAGTATGTGTCAAAGAGATTTGCTCTTGTGTTTTATAACGTAATATATTAGCTCTACAGTTTTAAGATGTCATTACTTGGCTAATCACATGAAACGTTTTCATGAGCAAACAGTGGTGCTGGCAGGAGCCAAGGCCAGAGACCTCTGGCTGAATCCTTCTGGGAAATGCTGAGCTTAGAGGATCTTATTCCACACTCGCCTTTGGGCTGGCGAGCACTAGGCAGACAGGGGGGTTCTGTAAACTCTGAGGCACTCAGAGGCAGGAGATGGGGAGCAGCCAGTGCTGGAATGGGAGAGACAGATGACCCCAGCATTCTGCTCCTGGTATGCACCCTACAAAAGAGGAGTGCCTTTGGCGTATATCCACCAAAGGACACACATGAGAATGTTCTATGTAGCTAATAGTCAAAACTGAAAACAGCCTAAATTTCATTGTGGGAAAGAAAAAACTTTCCTCAACCCTTTTATGTTCTGTAACTGGAGTCTGAATTAAACTAACAAAAGACAGATTAACAGAAGAAAAGGCACACGAATTTTATTGATGTTAATATTTTTATGTGTGTGGGGCCTCACAGAAAAGAGTGAAAACTCAAAGAAGTGGTTAAATCCGGAGGCTTATATATCATTTTATCAAAGAACAATAAATTGTGGAGAAGCAGCTAGACAAAGGAAGGGGGGTGAGTTTCTAGGGTGGTAAATTATGAGAAGGTGACTGAAAATGTATATTTATTTTTTGATGGCGTGAAATAGTATTTCAACTGTGTGTGTGTGTGTGTGTGTGTGTGTGTGTGTAGAACTGTGTGTGCATTTAATTATCTGTCTTCTCTGGCTAGGAGTTGGGTGGACAAAGTCGTGTGGTATGAGAGACACAGTGCAGGCTCTGCAGGGAAACCCACCTGGCTCTGACCATCTCACCACCCCTTTTCCTTTCTGTCAGCTTGGAAAAACCACTTAAACTTACTGAGCCTCAATTTTGACTTCTGCAAAATGAAAATAATAACAACATCTTTGCATTGCTATGGTGGGAAGTCAAGGAAAAAACATGAGCAACTTACTTAGTGACTCATGCTTTTTTTTTTTTTTTAACCTTGACACAAAACAAAACTTCCAAACAAACCCAGCCCCTTAGAGCTTCCCCAGCCTTTCTCCTTTGCTCCAGTTGGTGGTGGCTTATCTAGGGGAGGGTTGCTGGGATATATAGAATGAGCTGTAAAAAGCCAGGGCAGCTTGGTCCTTAGACTTGGGTGGGGTCTGGGAGGTGAGCTGGGGATGATTATGTTGAGGTCACCATCAACCCATTCCAAAGAGCTCTTGGGAACTAGCAGCCAGGACCCCTGGAGTTGCTTCCTCTTCCTCTCCTGATCTTCTGAGGCCAGTTACCTCTGATTTTCCACTAGGAAATGTCTTCATCTCCCCTAACCCTGGACAGAGGGCTATCCTGGTCTCATAGGGATAGTCTCCAAGTAAGCCCCAAGACCTCAGAACGTGGTTCAAAATGTGGTTCATCAGAAAGCCATTCCCAAACGTTTGAGGAAGCAGCCTCTGAGCTTCCAAGCCCTGGCCTGCCTCTGAACCCTTGAGCTTCCGTTCCTTGGCCTGAATGCAATCAGGCAGCTTTGGGTCACAGTCAGCAGGCTGGTTTGGGGCAAGTCTCCTAGCAGGCACAGCAGTCAGAGCCCCTTCCAGGTTCTGGAATGTGCAAACTCAGACACTGCCCACCCCTTAGTTACCCCACCTCAGCCCCCTGCTGATTCATTGAAGCAGACAAAGTGAGTTGGTGAGAAAGGAGGGGCGGGTCTTCCTGAGCCCCACTGGAACCGCAGGGGTCTCTAGAAACCCCCAAACTCCTCCTCCTGCCCATTGTCTCCTCCCTCGCTGCAGACAATCACCACAGAATCAATCGTCTCCCGCCCGTCTCCCGCCAGTCTCCCGCCCGGAGACTGGAAGGCAGTTTTGCGGGCTGCAAGCGCAGGAGCGGAAGCTCTTTGAATGACAATGGGGCTGGGGGCCCGCGGGGCGTCCATTTGTTCTCGTAGGCGGAGGAGGCTGATAAACAGCGCTGTTAACGACCACCGCTCCAAGTCCCCCGGCTTCTGGGAGCCGTCCCAGCGGGGAGTCCAGCAGAAGATGAGTCGCGTTGAATGACACAGGACATGGCAGATTGGATGTTTAATTTGGGTATCTCTTTAGAACACCCCCACTCCCACGTGTTTGGCTCCACTTAGCATCCTGCCACGGAGAAAGCCCCGCTCCTCACAAATTGCCTTTTCAGGCGCAGAGAAAAATCCCATCGTGACTGCTGTCTAGGCGGGCCCCTCCGAGTGCGGGGCAGGGTACCGGAGCCAGAGATCTGAGTCAGACATCAGGCAGGACTGCCTGTGGGGGAGGGCCGCCAGCAGGGGCCAGGTTTGTTAGGAGGCTATCGGAGGCCAAGGAGGGCCAGGCTTTTGTGGGGGGTCTGGCGGCTGTGGCGGCCCTGATGAGGAGCACAGCCCCCAGCAGCCCACCAATCACCCCTAGACTGCTCGGCAGCAGAATCTGATCACAACCTGTCAATCCTGCTTTCTCTCCAGCTTCACCTGCCTCCAGATCTTTCCAAACAAGGAAAGGAAGTGCAAACATGGCAATCACCTTGTCTGGCAGCCGCAGATAGCTGCCAGGGAGCAGCAGGGGCTCCAACCTGGCCTGGGAGCTGAAGCCAAGGGAGGTTGGGGTGGGGGGGCGCAGGCTGTGGCAGCCCTCTGCTCCCATCTGGAGCTGACGACGTGGGCTGTGGGTGGGCATCCCTGAGCCAGGCCAGGGCTGGCTTTCAGAGACCACCTCTCTCAAGGAGGGAAATGATAGGCAAGCTAGACTGCCATACGCTCAAGAGTAGAAGGAAGGAAGCGGCTGGCTCCCATGCCCAAGCAGCGAGCAGTGGTAGATGTAGTCCGCCTAGTGTTAGTGTTATAGGACAGGGAGAGGGGCAGCCCAAGCCCCGCAAACCTGCCTATTCTAAATGGGTTCTGCCATCCGCCACATCAGCACAAAACACATGAGACTTTAATGGGAAGGATCTTTAATAAAACTAGGAAACAATACAGGTAAGGCAAAGAATCTAGTTTCTAAATCAAGCACCCAAAGTTACCCTTCCCCTCGTGGGTAAAAGTCCATCCAAATGGGATTGGCCCAGAGGAAGGCCCCAAGGCCTGCCACAAGTCTAAAGCATCTTCCAGTGGGAACCCACAGAAAAGGGTCACAAACAACCAGACAAGCCGGGAAGGAAAAGAGCAAAATCAACATCAAGATAAAAGCTGCCATTGTCACCTCCCCACGGGTCTCACCCACATCTGTGTCACCCAGTCCACCACATCTGTGTCACCCAGTCCACAACCAAAAGACAAGCGCAGTTTCTTCACGTGTCTCTAGGTTCCATGCGCCTCCTCCAGGTATCCTGCCTCCATCCTGCTTCCTACCTCAGTCTCTTCTTCAGCTTCTCCTCTTCCAGCTCAGCTCCACCCTCCCTTGGGTGGGGCAGGGAACCTCCCCCTTTCCTGGGGACCACCCTGTTACATTAGGGGGGAAAGGATGTCCCAAAGCTATTTCCATATAGGCTTTGTGGACTCCACCCCCACCCCATTGTCTTTGGCTTTGACCTGGGGTGGGGGTAGAGTCCACAAAGCCTATATGGAAATAGCTTTGGGACATCCTTTTCCCCTACCTGGGGTGGGGGTGGAGTTCACAAAGCCTATATGGAAATAGCTTTGGGACAGCCTTTTCCCCCTAACACTAGTTGAGCAGGAAACACACGTGAGACTGGAGGGGGGCAACCGGGGTTCAAGATAGACTCCTCTTCTACCTTCCAACACCAGTTCTCTGACATCTGGTGGATGCCCTGCAATTCAGTTCAATTCTGACTACCCAGAGTTAATATCACTCCCACAGGTTAAGGGGCTTGGTCCTACAAGTCTGCTCTCACGTCAGATGCCAGCTGCAAATCCTGAGTATCCCTGCACTTCTCCCTTGCCAGCTATGAATTCAGGAGTCCCCACAACCCTTCACCTCCCCCTTCCCCACTTCAGGTTTTACAATTCTCTAGAATGACTTTCAGAACTCACAGAAAATGCTATACTCATGTTTACCATTTATTATAAAGGAGCCAGATGAATAGAAATACGAGGCCAGGTCTAGAAAGGTCCAGGGATAAGAGCTCCTGCCCTGCTGGGGTCAGGGTGTACCTTCTTGGTGCATCTGTGATATGCCCACCAATCAGGAAGCTCTCATTGTTCAGTTTTTATGGAGATTTTTTATTACACGTGATTGATTAAATAATTGATTTAATCAATTGATTGGACTCAACCTCCAGCCCCTCTCTCTTAATGCGCTTTATGGTGACCAACACAAGAAAAAATTACTTTGGGCTGGTCAACCACGGGTGAAGCTTGGAAAGCACGTTGGGCGCCAAGCTGTTATA